TTTTTTTTTTTTTTTTTGAGACGGAGTCTTGCTCTGTCACCCAGGCTGGAGTGCAGTGGTGCAATCTCGGCTCACTGCAACCTCTGCCTCCCAGGGTTCAAGCAATTCTCCTGCCTCAGCCTCCCCAGTAGCTGGGATTACAGGCACCTGCCACCATGCCCAGCTAATTTTTGCATTTTTAGTAGAGACGGGGTTTTGCCGTATTGGCCAGGCTGGTCTCAAACTAATGACCTCAGGTGAGCCACCTGCCTGAGCCTTCCAAAGTGCTGGGATCACAGGTATAAGCCACCACACCTGGCCTATTTTTCTCAAATGTACATATCACATCACTCTCTGCTCTAAACTCTCCCATGACTCTCACCGTCCTCATAAAGAAGGCATGCTCCTCACCACGTGTGGCTTCCACAGCCCCAGTGTCCTTCTGACCTCACTTCCTCTCACCCCACACTCCCTCCCTCCCTCCCTTCATCCGGCCACAGTGCTCTCTAGCTCTTCCCCACACATGCCTAGCTACAGCCCACCTCTCTGCCCTTGCATCTGTGGGTCCCTCCACCTAGAAAACTCTTCCCCTCAAACTTCACCTGACTCACCCATCACTTCATTCAGGTCTCCAGTCAAATCAAACACACGTCCTCAGAGAGACCTTGCCAGCTATCATTCCTTTCCTATCTCCTCTCCCTCCCTCCCTCCCTTCTTTTCTTTCCTTCCTTCCTTCCTTCCTTCCTTCTTTCTTTCTTTCTTTCTTTCTTTTTTTCTTTTTTTTTTTCTTCTTTCTTTCTTTCTTTTCTTTCTTTCTCTTTCTTTCTTTCTTTCTTTTCCTTCTTTCCTTCCTTCCTTCTTTCATTTCTTTCTTTCCTTTCTCTTTAACGGAGTTTTGCTCTTGTCACCCAGGCTGGAGTGCAATGGCACAATCTTCGCTCACCGCAACCTCCACCTCTCAGGTTCAAGCAATTCTCCTGCCTCAGCCTCCTGAGTAGCTGAGGTTACAGGCACACACCGCCAAGCTTGGCTAATTTTTGTAATTTTAGTAGAGATGGGGTTTCACCATGTTGGCTAGGCTGATCTCAAACTCCTGACTTCAGGTGATCTGCCTGCCTTGGCCTCTCAAAATGCTGGGATTACAAGCATGAGTCGCTGCGCCTGACCCCATACTGTATTTCAGAAAGTAGTAAGTGCTATCAGAACATAAGCTGTCTCAGGGTAAGGGCTTGGCCTTGCTCGCCACGTGGCACACCGCATGCATTTAATACACATTTGCTGAGCAAATGAATGCAGGCTCCAGGCTCTGCCTTCACAGAAACAATGCCAGGTGTCCCTGATTCCCCAGGTCCTTTTCTTCCTGGCCACACCGTAAGACTAAACTTCCAGCCTAGGCCAGATGGGGTGGCTCACGCCTGTAATCCCAGCACTTTGAGAGGCCGAGGCAGGTGGATCACTTGAGGCCAGGAGTTTGAGACCAGACTGGCCAACATGGTGAAACCCCATCTCTACTAAAAATTCAAAATTACCCGGACATGGTGGTGGGCACCTGTAGTCCCAGCTACTTGGGAGGTAGAGGCAAGAGAATCGCTTGAACCTGGGAAACGGAGGTTGTAGTGAGCTGAGATCACACCACTGCACTCCAGCCTGGATGACGGAGCAAGACTCCATCTCAAAAAAAAAAAAAATTGCAGCCTCCCTGGCTGACAGGTTGGGCCACTGGGCTGGCAGTGTGTGGGTGCCAGCTTTGTCCCTAAAACCTCCCGTGTGATCCTCCTCCTGTCTTTTCCCATCTGCAGCGGAATGCGGAGGGTCCAGCATGCGATTCCCAGGGCAGCACAACGGAAGGACCCTGGCTCCCAATCACAGCGGGACAGGCTTCTGCCGCACACTCACATCCAACCACTATGTGAGCAATAAGCCAATGCCTACTAAGTGAGGCCACTGAGATGCTGGAATTATTATCACTTCTTCACCCACCCTGACAAATACAGTCCCACACCTCCCCTGTCCATCCTGTCTTTAGCCTGTTCCATGCTGTGACATCCCATGCAGAGGGTAATCATGGGCAACTGGGAAGGACAGGGGACAGAAGGATGATGGCCATGACCCCAGTCTCCAATGCCAGGGCCAAAAAGGGGTCTGAATACACACGAGGCACCTAGACCAGTGCCTGGCACACAGAGGTGCAACAGGGATATTGGCTGTTGTCATTCCATTGGGAAAGGGGCTCTCAATGGGATGGGGATGGCTGGGGGAGGCCGCCAGAGGCGGGCAGGAAGCTCGAGGAGGGAGGAGGGGCACCTGGGCTTGTCGGCCGCCCCAATCTGGCTGGCGATGCCATCCATCCAGGAGAGCAGGTCGCGGACTTGGCTGTGGAAGCGCAGGGCGTCTGCCGTGGAGCTGACGTGCAGGCGGGCGTCCTCACAGGCGGACAGCAGCTCCTTCCAACCCTGCAGCACCTCCTGCTCCCGGCTAGCGATGGCCTCGGCGTGTTCACCTGCATACACCGTCCGCAGCTGGGCCGCCCCCTCCTGAAGCTGCCGCACCTGAGGGGGATGCCAGGTCGGGTGCCAGTCCTCCGCCAGGGCCCAGGCTGTGCCCTCCCTCCCCCCACCTGCTCCAGTGCAGAACCTCAACCTATAAGGAGCCTCACACTGTGATCCCACAGCCAGGCTCCTGTCACATCTGCCGCCTGATTTCTCTTTCACTTACCCGAGTTCCAACTCCTTTCAGCCTGCTGCCTGATTTCTTTTGGTCTCAGAGCTCTATCTCTGCTGGGTCTGTCACCTGTTTTTTCAGGCAGGCCCACCTCTACCTCGGGTCTTTCAGGAACCCCTTTCCACTTGGATGTCTTTTAGATGTGCTGATTTTTTTTTAACGCAGTTTATTTCAAACCCACTCCTTTGTAGTAGCCCAGGTCCCTGCAGGATGTCTGTTCCATTGCAGTTAGTCCCCTGCCTGATTTCCATTCATTCTACTGCATGAGTTCTGCTCACTCTATTTATCTTTTGGGGGTTTTTTGGTTTGTTTTATGAGACAGGGTCTTGCTCTGTTGTCCGGGTTGCAGTGCAGAGGCACAAACACGGTTCACTGCAGCCTCGACATCCTGGGTGTATATATGTGTGTATATATACATACATATACACATGCACACCATATGTGTGTATATCTATGTTTATACATATGTATATATGTGTATATGTGTGTGTGTCTGTATATATATATATATGTATATATATATATATTTTTTTTAACACAGTCAGAGTCTCACTATGTTGCTCAGGCTTGTCTTGAGCTCCTGGGCTCAAGCAGTCCTCCCGCCTTGGCCTCCCAAAGTGCTGAGATTACAGGCATGAGCCACTGCGCTCAGCCTGCTGCTCACTCTGTTGGTTCAATCACCTGATTTCTTTTGATGTGACCTCCTCATCTCTAACAGATCCACCACCTGTTGCTATCAATCTCTCAGCCTGATTTCTAAGTCATCTGTAGGATTTATAAAAATAATTGGGCCGGCAGCGATGGCTGACACCTGTAATCCCACCACTCTGGGAGGCTGAGGCAGGCAGAAATTTTGAGGTCAGGAATTCAAGCCCAACATGGCCAACATGGTTAAACTCCATCTCTACTAAAAATATGAAAATTAGCCAGGCATGGTGGCCTGCATCTGTAGTCCCAGCTACTCAGGAAGCTGAAGCGGGAGAATCGCTTGAACTCGGGAGGTGGAGGCTGCAGTGAGCTGAGTTTGTGCCACTGCACTCCAGCCTGGGTGACAGAGCAAGACTCCATCTCAATAATAATAATAATAATAATAATAATAATAATAATAGTAATAATAATAATAATGATTGCCAGCTAGGTACGGTGGCTCATGCCTGTGATCCCAGCACTTTGGGAGGCCAAGACCGGTGGATCACCTGAGGTCAGAAGTTTGAGACCAGTCTGGCCAACATGGTGAAACCCCATCTCTACTAAAAATACAAAAATTAGCTGGGTGTGGTGGTGTGCACCCATACTCCCAGCTTCTCGGAAGGCTGAGGCAGGAGAATCGCTTGAACCTGCAGTGAGCCTAGATCGTGCCACTGCACTCCAGCCTGGGTGATAGAATGAGACTCTGTCTCAAAAAAAGAAAAAAGAAAAAAACTTGCCCAACTTCTACTTTCCATTAGGCCTGCCACCCGGTTTCTTTCAGTCCTGCTGCCTGAGCTGTATTAGGCCTGCAGCTTCATTTCCATCTGACTGCTCAGATCTACCTCTCAATTCCAGCCAGACCCTCTGCCTAATTTCTAATAGCTCCGTTGCCTTTTCCATTAAATTCACCCCCATCAGATTACTTTCAGAAAAGTCATATGATTTCTAAGAGAGACCTGTTGTCTAATTTCTACCTGCACTACAGCCAAATTCCTCTTATCCTTCTCAAAATTCTCTTTAGGTCCTCGATCTGGATTTAGGTAAAATTCGCTTTGCAGTTTTCAGAGACCCACTGCCCAATCTCTATCAGAACCTGTTTATTGTTGGGGTTTTTTTTGTTTCTGTTTTTCTGGTTAAAAAAGTGTTGCTCTTCTTACCTAGGCTGGAGTGCAATGGTGAGATCGTGGCTCACTGCAACCTCCGCCTCCCAAGTCTCCCAAGTAGCGGGATTACAGGCATGTGCCACCATGCCTGGCTAATTTTTCTATTTTTAGTAGAGTTGGGGTTTCTCCATGTTGGTCAGGCTGGTCTTGAACTCCTGACCTCAGGTGATCTGCCCGCCTTGGTCTCCCAAAGTGTTGGGATTACAGGTGTGAGCCACTGTGCTGGGCCCTCAGTCCATTTTTTATCTGCTCCGTTATCTAATTTCTTCCTGTTCTGTAGTCTGCTTTCTGTCTGTCCCACTGCCTAATTTTGACCTGCTCCACAGCCTGGTTTTTGCCCACCCTGCTGCCCACAGCTGTCTGGGCCCTCCCAGCTGCCCCACCTGGGACACGAGGAGCTGCAAGTCATGCTCAAAGGCTCTCAGGGTCCGCTGCATGGAGCTGGCGCTGGGTCTCGGCTCAGGCGGGGTGGTCAGGCGGGGCAGCCGCCTCCGCTTTTCCTCAATCTGTCCCTGAAGCTCTCTGGCATCACTGAAGAACTTATGCAGCTCCCGAGAGGCGGCCAGCAGCTGGGCCCGTGTGCCCATGAGCTCCAGCAGCTCAGCCCAGGCCTCGTTCAGCCCATCCTTCCACTCGGCCATGGTGGCTGCCGCTGTGTGGCCACACTCGATCAGCTCATCCACCATCTGGTTCACAGCTGCCAGGCGCTCCCGCCCTGCCGTGCCTGTCTCATTGGCGAACTCTGAGAATTTTTCCTGCAGCACCTGCCATGAGGAAGTGGTGGGCAGGGGGCAGGTACAGCAAAGTGAGCAAAGGGGCAGCACACACCAGCCCCCTCCAGCCTACAGTTTTTTTTTTTTTCTTTTTGAGACAGAGTCTTGCTCTGTCACCCAGGTTGGAGTGCAGTGGCACAGTATCTGCTCACTGCAACCTTCGCCTCCCCAGTTCAAGTGATTCTTCTTTATCAGCCTGCAAATAGCTAGGACTATAGGCACGTGCCACCACGCCCAGCTAATTTTTCCATATTTTTAGTATAGACGGGTTTCACCATGTTGGCCTGGCTGGTCTCAAACTCCTGACCTCAAGTGATCCCCTTGCCTCAGCCTCGAAAGTGCTGGGATTCCAGGCGTGAGCCACCACATGGTAACAGAGGCTACCATTTTGTGGTAGGTAAGAGTAATAACAATCATCATCATCATCATCAAAAACCCCTAGCAATAATGGTAACAATAATACTAACTAACACTGTGTGAGGCGCCATGTGTGCCAGCCAGGGTCTCAGAGCTTTACACGACATCAATTCACTTGTCTCACAACAGAGCTATGAGGTGGGTGCTATCATTATCATACTACAAATGGGGAAACTGAGGCCCAGGGAACCTTAGTGGTAGCTCTTGGTATCACTTTTTTTATTTTGAGATGGAGTCTTATGCTTAAAAAAAAAAAAGAGATGGAGTCTTGCTCTGTCACCAGGCTGGAGTGCAGTGGCATGATCTTGGCTCACTGCAACCTCCACCTCCAGAATTCAAGCCATTCTTCTGCCTCAGCCTCCTGAGTAGCTGTGATTACAGGCATGCGCCACCATGCCTGGCTGATTTTTGTATTTTTAGTAGAGACAAGTTTTCGCCATATTGACCAGGCTGGTCTCAAACTCCTGACCTCGTGATCCACCCGCCTCGGCCTCCCAAAGTGCTGGGATTATAGGCATGAGCCATCGTGCCTGGCCAAGGTATCACTTATTACTAATGACACTCACCGAGACGTGCTCAAAGTCCTGGCCGAGCTCAGGGGAGCCAGCCACCACCTCTTTCTCGGCGATCCAGTGCTCAAGCTCGCCCACCTGGCGGCTGAGCTGGTACAGCCAGTACTGCTGCTCCAGGGCTACCCGGCGCTCCTCGCCCAGCTCCTTGAGTGCCACATACAGGCGGTCCACCTGGGACTGCCGCCGGCTGATCTGCTCGCTGATGGGGTACACGGAGGGGCAGGGATGGACCCTGAGACTTCTGGGGCAGAGCGTGAACCCCCTAAACTCCCTCCCCAGGACAGGGCTGTGTCTCTTTAGAATCTTCAGGCAAGGTTGTGTCCCTGGACAAGTTTCTGTTTTCTTTTCTTTCTTTTTCTTTTTTGGAGACAGGGTCTTGCTCTGTTGCTCAGGCTGGAGTGCAGTGGTGCAATCACAACTCACTGCAGCCTCCACCTCCCGTGCTCAAGCAAGCCTCCCATCACAGCCTCGTAAGTGGGACCACAGGTGTGTGACTCCACACCTGGCTGTTAGATTTCTTATAAAGATGAGTTCTCAGTATGTTCCCTCTGGTCTCAGATGATCCTCCTGCCTCAGCTTCCCAGAGTGTTGAGATTAGAGGATGCCTGGCCAGGACTCTGTTTCTGCAAGTCTCAGGTTCAGACAGCCCCGCATCTCAGCATGCAGGCAAAGCTCTGCTTCCCTAGATGCATAAGCTCACCTCCATCAGCCTCACCCAGTTTCTATCTCAGTTTCATGCCCCTGCTATCCAGGAACCTGGGTGGGACTCTGAACTTCCAGCTTGGGCCCCCAGCCAATTCACCCCACTTCTATCCCTAATCTCTGGGCCCACTTGGACAGAAGCTGCTCTCTGTACCTCCTTTCAGATTTCATCCCTGGTCCAGGCCTGGAGCTCATCACCAGCCTCCACCAGGCAACATCACCCCACTGCACCAGGAGGTCTCCGGCCCTACCCCTATGGCCAATCTCAGCGCAGGCTTTTCTGTCCTCCCAAACACTGGGTAGAAAGAGGCCCTTGCCTGTCCTGAGCAAATTCTTCTCTATTCCAGTCCCAGACATCGCCTCCTCTTTTCTTCCCCGACAAGGTCACCACCACTACACGCAAATCCGGGTGCTCCTGGCCCCACCCTCTCAACCATCCCTGCGCCGTGTCCCCCCAATTCCTGCCTGCCCACTTGCCAAATCCAAGGGCTCCAGCACACAGCAAGGAGGACCTCTCCCACCCAATGTCCAATTCCAGCGCGGCTCCAACTCCCAACAGCCAAGCTTCAGGTCCTGCGGGACCATTCCTGTGAACCGGCTCCGCCCCCACCCCCAACCCCCGCCCGCCCACCTGTCCGGGTGCCCCATCTCCAGCAGCGCCCGGCACTGGCGCGACAGCTGCGCGATGCTTTCCTCGTAGTTCTCCACGCCTTGCTCCAGCTGCAGGTGTTTCTTGAGCAGCTGCAGGGTGCTCTGTTCATCCTGGGGGCACAAAGCGCCCACGATGAGGCGGCAGCGGCGGCCCCGGGCTCCAGCGCCTCCAGGCCCTCCACACCCCCAGCCCGGGCGCACCTTGCCCTTGTCCTCACTCATCATGAGCAGCTCCTGCTCGCCCAGCCACGCCTCCACCTCGGCCACGTCGAAGTAGTACTGCTCCACCTGGAAGGCGGCGTCCAGTGCCTGCTGCCGCCGCTCGGCCGCCTCCCGCAGTCCGGCCCAGGCGCTTTGCAGCTGCTCAAAGCCCCGGCGCACGGCCTCTGCCTCCGGGCTGCGCAGCGACGCCAGCGCGCTCGCGCGCTCCAGCACCTCCTCCAGGCGCGGCCCGTGTGCCTGGATCTCCCGCCGCAGGCCCTGGGGACGGGAGGTGGGGGTGTGGGTGGAGAGGGCGCTTTCCGAGGCCCTGCAAGACCACAGGCTCCTCTGCTACTGGTATGGCTCACGGAGCAATTAACAAGCACCCTCAGTTCGCTTACCACGTGCCGGGACCACATAAGCATTTTGCTGATACCCCCTCACTCGTCATAACCCCGTGCCACAGGTGGGAAAACAGGCACAGAGGGGTGAAGTATGGCGCCCAAGAACAAGCAGCCAGTAAGGAGTGACACGATTTGAACGCAGGAGGCTAGTTCCCGAGACTGCTCTGAGCCAAGACACTTGCCGACCCAAGATGGGCCCTAACACAGAAACCCTGCAACTTAGCAGCTGAGGTATCTTTATATACGGTGAAGTGCACCAACCTTTAGGTATACAGTTGCACACATTTGTGCACATGCATACACCGGTGTGCCCGGATCAGCCTGTGGAACACTTCCGTGCCCCGGAAGGTTCTCTCGGCCACTCTGTACTTGCAGAGTACCTTATTTAACTTTTCGTGCGCCTCAACTGGTCAACAAAAATAACAACAGCCAGCATGTCCTCTTCTTCTTTTGCTTCTTTAGAGACAGGGTCTCACTCTATGGCCCATGCTGGAGTGCAGAGGCACTATCACACTCACTGCAGCGTTCAACTCCTGGGCTCAAGTGATCCTCCTGCCTCAGCCTCCTAAGTAGCTGGAACTACAAGTGTGCACCACCATGCCTGGCTATTTCTTTTCGTTTCTTTTCTTTTTTTGAGACAGAGTCTCACTCTGTTACCAGGTGCCAGGCTGGAGTGCAGTGGTGCAATCTCAGCTCACTGCAACCTGCACCTCCCAGGTTCAAGCAATTCTCCTGCCTCAGCCTCCCAAGTAGCTGGGACTACAGGCACGTGACCACAACTGGCTAATTTTTGTATTTTTTAGAAGAGATGGGGTTTCACCATGTTGGCCAGGATGGTCTCGATCTCTTGACCTTGTGATTCACCTGCCTCGGCCTCCCACAGTGCTGGGATTACAGGCGCGAGCCGCCGCGCCCGGCCCAGTGCGCTCTTATTATTATTCCTCTTTTATGTGTCTTGCTTCAGGCTCTGGTAAAGTAGTTGCTTTGACCAGGGGTTCCCCTGCTGTGCAGTTTGAGAACCACTGCTCTAGACCAACTCTACTTATTTACATGTGGAAACTGAGGCCCAGAGGAATGAACAGATATTCGGAGATTTTTAGGAGCTCAAAATCCCCCTCCCCGACTTTGCTCAGCTTAGGGAACAATAGTGCGTCTCGCTGATTACCTCTGTCCTTCGTCCCTTTGGTGGTTTTTGTTTTGTTGTGTGTGTGAGAGAGAGAGACAGAGAGAGAGAGGAGAGAGGAGAGAGAGAGAGTGTCTTACTCTGTTGCACAGGCCGGAGTGCACTGCATGTTCAAGGCTCACTGCAGCCTTGACCTCTGGGCTCAAGGGAGCCTCCCTCTTCTGCCTCCAGAGGAGCTGGGACTACACCACCACACCTGGCTAACTCAATGTTTTGTGATTTTGTTTGCTGTTGTTTTACTTTTCCCTTGTCCAGTAGCCATTCCCCTTCCTTCTAGTCACAAGCCCTGATTTTCCTTTGGGGAGCTCCCTTTGCCTCCATCTCAGCCTTGGAAATTAAGCTAAGGCTGGCTCCAGCAGCAAGTTCCAGGGGAGGGCACTCCGCCAGGCCAACCCAAGGAGCAGTCAAATCCCGTCCATCATTAGTTCAGGGGTGGGCATGGGATGCAGGTTGAGGCAATGAGAGTTATTCCTGGGAATATTGCTGACATTAGAGAGAGGGGAAAATTCTCTTCAGTTTTTGCTGGCAGGAGGTAAACCTGAACCTATTGGAGGCCTTTTATCACCAGGAGAGGATAATTGGCTCATTCAGAGAAATGAATGAGAAAGCTCATTCAGAAAAACAAACAGGCTGGGCGCGGTGGCTCCCACCTGTAATCTCACACTTTGGGAGGCCAAGGAGTGGATCACTTGAGGCCAGGAGTTTGAGACCAGCCTGGCCAACATGGTGAGACACCCCCCCCCACACCCCCGTCTCTACTAAAAATACAAAAATTAGCCAGGCGTAGTGGTGCACACCTGTAATCCCAGCTACCTGGGCAGCTGAGGCAGGAGAACCGCTTGAACTCAGGAAGCGGAGGTTGCAGTGAGTGGAGATCGCACCACTGCACTCCAGCCTGGGCGACAGAGCAGGACTCCATCTCAAAAAAAAAAAAAAAAAAGAAGAAGAAGAAGAAAGAAAAACAAACAAAAAACAGAGTCAAGAGTCATGAAAATATATGGAAGCCCCTGGATACGCTGGTATCCGATGTCCACACTTTTGTTAATTCCAAAATCCAATAAATTCATTGTTTTCTCTTTAACCACCTTCAGACGTTGTCTATCGTGTGTATCCCAATGTGTCCTAACTTACTCCCTCACCTGGCTCTGCTCACCTGGTTCTTTTTGATGTGCTGCTGGACCGCCTGTAAGCCGTCACCTCGCTCTGTCTGCATGGCCAGTGGCAGCCGCTCCTGAACCCATGCCTGGAGGGGACGCAGGGGGCAGGTCAAGGTGGGAATGCATCCAAGAACCCCTGCATTGCAACTAAACTTTACACTTGCTCGGCATCCAAGGCCCTTCCTTGCCTGAGAGCCCAGTCGCAACTTCAGCCTCCTCCCTCTATTTTTTTTTGTTGGGGGGGGGGTTTGGGAACCAAACCCCCAGGCTTAAATAATCCTCCCACCTCAGCCTCCCAAATAGCTGAGACTACAGGCGCCACCACACTGTCTCAGCCTCCTCCGTTGACATACTCTTGCTTGCTTGCTGTGCTCAAGCCAGGCTCACACCACGGGCCTTTGCACAAGCAGGTCTTGCTTCCTCGAATTCCATTCCCATTTCCTCAGCTGGCTCACTGGTACTCTTCCTTCAGACCTCAGCTCAGACATCCCCTCCTCCAGGAAGCCCTCCCTGACTTTGAACCTTGGCCAATTGCCTTCCCTGGGCTCCCACAAACCCCTAGATTCCCCTATCATATTCCTAACCACCCTGAATTGTCACCGTCTGGGGACAAGTCTATTTTCCCGAGCCCTCTGGGCACAATGGGGTCTGCCTTGGTCACCCCTGTGACCCCAGTATCATCCAAACACAGCGCTGGAGCCAGAATGATCAACAGAGGGAGCAAATGAATGAGCAAATCAGGAAGTTGAGTAATGGAATGAGGAAATGAACAGAGGCGTGAATGAATAATAAGTAAATAAATGAGTGAAGGAAAGGATGGATGAGTGAATCAATAAATGAGTGACTTCATGAATAAATCAATGATTCAAAGTGAGTAAATGAATATGAATGAATGAATGAGTGAAGGGCTGAATGCGTTTTTCAGCGTATGAGTGGGAGCGTCTCAGCCCTCTCCATCCTCGGCCCCGCCCCGTGCCACGGCCCCGCCTCGTGCCCACCTTCTCCGCCCCCCACCCCGCCCCGCCCCGGGCTCCTGCGTGGCCCTCACCAGCTCGTCGTCCAGGTCGTGCGCCACCTGGTGCAACTCCTTGGAGGCCAGCAGCAAGCGGCGGCGCTCCTGCAGCGGTTCGAGCAGGCGCACGAGGCGCTCGCCCACCGCGTTCTGCCGCTCGCCCACCAGCTCCTTGCTCGCGGGTTCCAGCGGCAGCGCTGCAGTCTGGGCCTGCAGCTCTCCCACCTCGCGGTACCATTCCTCTACCTGCGACTCCATGGACTGTGAAGACAGGGGACAGGGGCAGGGTCAGCGGGGCCCACCTGCCCTCCCCATCCTGCTGTGACTCTCCAGTACCCTTATGGTGACAGCCAGACCCTTCACTGCGGCCCACCCTTCCACCCTCTCCTTTCTCAGTCCCCTCCAGGAGCGATGCCCTCCGCATGAACCTGCATCATACTAAGCTAGTCCCTGCCTGGGAGCCTTTGCCTTTGCTGTTTCCTCTGCCAGGCATGCTCTTACTTGTCAGATTTCGACTGGAGTATTACCTTAAAGAGGCTTACCTGACCCCGGAACTAAAGTGGTCCATTAATTGACTAGTTCTCAGAACAACCCTTCAACGTTGGTAGTCTCCCTGTTTTACAGAGGAGGAAACTGAGGCCAAGAGAAGTTAAAGAATTTGTCCAAAGAGTCAACTTTCCAAAAATCATTACTATCAAGTTTAGTAATAATTTTTTGTTAATGATTTTTTTTTTTTTTTTGAGAAGGAGTCTGGCTATGTCGAGGCTGGAGTGCAATGGCATAATCTCGGCTCAATGCAACCTTCACTTCCTGGGTTCAAGTGATTCTCCAACCTCAGCTGGGATTACAAGTACTCACCATCATGCCTGGCTAAATGTTGTATTTTTGTAGAGATGGGGTTTCACCATAATGGCCAGGCTGGTCTTGAACTCCTGACCTCAGGAGATCCGCCCACCTCGGCCTCCCAAAGCGCTGGGATTATGGGCATGGGCCATCATACTCATCTGAATTTTTTTTTTTTTTTTTGAGATATAGAGCAAAGCAGCCTCCACTGTGTCACCCAGGCTGGAGAGCAGGGGATGATCTCAGCTCACTGCAACCTTCACCTCACGGGTACATGCGATTCTCGTCCCTCAGCCTCCCAAGTAGCTGGGGCTACAGGCACCTGCTACCATGCCCAGCTAATTTATTTTTGTATTTTTAGTAGAGATGGGGTTTCACCACGTTGGTCAGGCTGGTCTCAAACTCCTAACCTCAAGCGATCTGCCCATCTTGGCCTCCCAAAGTGCTGGGATTACAGGCTGAAAAAATATTTGACACTAAAAAATTATCAAAATAAATACAAAGCTATAGTGATTTGGATGGCAGCTGTGTCACAGGGATAGACAGGAATGCAAAAGCAGACCCAAATATACAGGAAAATGCATGTGTTTCATAGGTACCAATTCAAATCCCCAAGGAAAAGACGGATTACTTAATGAATGGTCATAGGCTAACTGGCTAACCAGTTTAGCTGGATCCTTTCCTTGCTGTTTGTACTGAAAACAATTCCAGATGGATTAAAGACCTAAATGGAGTGAGAAAATCCCTAAGACACTAAAAGAAAACCTGAGCAAATGCTTTTATAATGTTGGGATGGAGAAAAATCTTTCTAAGTATAAAAAACATAAAGGGAAAGATTTATAAATTTGATCACATAAGAATAAAAATGCTTCTGAATCAACCAAAATTTCAGAGAGTTGGAAGGTAAACGACAAACTGTAAAAACTGATATATATTAGAGCAAGGAACTAGTTTCTTTAACAATCAAAGAATTTCCCTCTATCCTGCTTCCTTTGTCTTCATAGCACTTACCACCATCAGACAACTCTCTTTATTTTTTGGGGGTGTGTTGTTTTTGTTTTCTGACAGGGTCTTGCTCTGTCATCCAGGCTGGAGTGCAGTGGTGAGATCATAGCTCACTGCAGCCTCGAAATTCCCGGGCTCTAGGAATCTTGCCTCAGCCTCCCAAGTAGCTAGGACTACAGGCACACACCACCATGCCCAGCTCATTTTTTAAATTTGTCATAAAGATGGGGGTCTCGCTATGTTGCCCAGGCTGATCTTGAACTCCTGGGCTCAAACTCTTCTCCCACGTTGGCCTTCCAAAGTGCTGGCATTATAGGTGTGAGCCACCACTTTTGGGTACTTGTGTATTTTTACTGGTCCCCTGCTTCCAGAATGTGACCCAAATGAGGGTAGGGGCTCTGTCACACTCCCTGCTGTATTCTTGAAAGCCTAGAACAATTTCTGGTACACAATAGGCCTTCAGTTATGATTTGTTCAATGTATGCATGAATGACATCAGCAAAGAAAAAGAGTGCCCAAAAAGAGAAATGGGTATCAGATGTGAACAGGCAACAGACAAAAGAAATAAGCATATAAAAAGGTGCCCAGTCTTATTAATCAGATGGAAAATGCAAGCTAAAACAAGACATCCTTTTCTTTTTCTTTCTTTCTTTTTTTTTTTTTTGAGACAGAGTTTTGCTCTTTTTGCCCAGGCTGGAGTGCAATGGCATGATCTCAGCTCACTGCAACCTCCACCTCCTGGGAGGAATCGCGTTGGAATCACCTCCAAGTGATTCTTCTGCCTCAGCCTCTGGAGTAGCTTGGATTACAGGCACGTGCCACTGTGCCCAGCTAATTTTTTGCATTTTTAACAGAAATGGGGTTTCACCATGTTTGCCAGGCTAGTGACTGGCAAACTGAACTCCTGACCTCAGGTGATCCATCTGCCTCGGCCTCCCAAAGTGCTGGGATTACAGAAGTGAGCCACCATGCCCAGCCAAGACATCCTTTTCTATACATTAGGTTAGCAAAAATGTAAAAGACTTAACAGTATCTAATGCTGGAAAAGATGCTGGGAGATGGGCACACTCAGCCACTGTCAGTGGTGGTGTAAATTGGTAGGGCCTTTTTGGAAGGCAATTTGGCAGGTCTTACATCAAAATGCAAAATGTGCATCTGCTTGACTCAGCACTGGCACTTCCACTTCTAGGAATATAACTAAAAAAATACTGGCACAGACCTGGCATGGTGGCTCATGCCTGTAATCCCAGCACTTTGGGAGGCCAAGGCGGGCGGATCACAAGGTCAGGAGTTTGAGACTGGCCAACATGGTAAAACCTTGTCTCCATTAAAAATACAAAAATTAGCTAGGCTTGGTGGTGCATGCCTGTAATCCCAGCTACTCGGGAGGCTGAGGCAGAAGAATTGCTTGAACTCAGGAGGCAGAGGTTGCAGTGAGCCGAGACTGCGCCATTGCACTCCAGCCTGGGTGACAGAGCAAGACTCTACCTCAAAATAAATAAATAGGCCAGGCATGGTGGCTCACACCTGTAATCTCAGCACTTTGCGAGGCCGAGGTGGGCAGATCACCTGAGCTCAGGAGTTCAAGACCAGCCTGACCAATGTGGTGAAACCCTGTCTATAAAAAATAAAAATAATAAATAAATAAATAAATAAAATTTAAAAACAAAATAGATTTTAAAAAGAAAAAAAAAAGAAATACTGGCAGAGATCCACAAAGAGGTAATCAGAGCAGAGTGTGTGATGGGAAGAAAATGGAAACAACCTGAATGCTGATCAGGAGAGAAAAGGTCAAGCCAGGTGCAGCAGCTCACGCCTGGAATCCCAGCTACATGGAGGCTGAGGCGAGAGGACTGCCTGAGCCCAGGAGTTTGAGACCAGCCTGGGCAACACAGTGAGACCTCCTCTCTTTTTTTTCTTTTTTTTTGAGACTGAGTCTTGCTCTGTCACCCAGACTGGAGTGCAGTGGTGCGATCCCAGCTCACTGTAACCTCCACCTCCCAGCTTCAAGCGATTTTCCTGCCTCAACCTCCTGGGTAGCTGAGATTACAGGCGTTCGCCACCATGCCTCACTAATTTTTGTATTTTTAGTAGAGACAGGGTTTCACCATGTTAGTCAAGCTGGTCTCGAACTCCTGACCTGTGATCCACCTGCCTCGGCCTCCCAAAGTGCTGGGATTACAGGGGTGAGCCACCATGCCCGGCATGAGACCTCCTCTCTCAAAAAAAAAAAAAAAAAAAAAAAAGTAAAATGGTTAAACAAATCAAGACCAAGACCAATATGAAATAATAGCCAAGAATTACTGTTAATAAGAAAAAGCAATTTAGAACCTACCTATGAATATAAATTTGTAGTGGATTGCACATGCATAAAAACTCCCTGGAGTAAACAAGAAGTTCGTAACAGATGGTTCTTATTGGGAGGATGAGAACTTACTGAATGGGGACCAGGGATGAAGGAAATAATTTCCCCATAGGATTTCCTTAGAGTTTTTGATGTCTTAACCATGAAAATTCATTTATTCAAAAATTGAAATTAAACATGAATGCCTGGAAAGTGCTGTTTTTTTTTTTAATTAAAAAAAATTAAACATGAAAAGCAAATAAAATAAAAACATTAAACATCCATATATGTAGACTTGTAGATGCACAGAAAGAGGTGTAGACAGATGTACACAAAATAATTGAGGCTCCCTTTGGGATGTGGGATTGGGAGGCAGATCAGAGGGAGACTTTGGGTTTTACTGAAGACTGCTGGGTTAGTAAATTTTTTCCCAAAAGAATATACTTATGTATTACCCTTGTAATTCTAAACAGATGGAGGAAAACTAGAGAAGAAAACAAAATAACCATAAAACAATTAAGTGGTAGCAGATTATGGCAAATGACTGCAAAACAAAACCCAAAACTCAGGAACCAAGCCAAGACTTCTTGTTCCAAGGTTCTGTAGTGCACAGTTATTGGTTTTGCCTGCCCAAAATCCATCCTCTCCTTCCAAACACATCAAAACTCACTCTCAGGTCCTGAGCTTCCTGAAGGACAAATGAAACCTAGAGAGCCATGGGTAAGCACATGACCCAAGTGGGGCCAATCCGCACACTGAAAACGCCCTGGCTATAAGGATTGGGTCAGAGATGAGCATGTGACCTCGGATGGGCCAATGAAAACTCTTCCCACTTTTTCTTTTTTGGTAGAGGTGGGGTCTCACTATGTTGGCCAGGCTGGTCTTGAACTCCTGGCCTCAAGAGATCCTCCCATCTTGGCCTCCTAAAGTGTGGGATTACAGGTGTGAGCCACTGTGCCCGGCCACTCTCCCCACTTTTGCCAGGAAAGTGTGTGTGCACAGAAGAGATGTTGTCTTTCCCATGGGCTTCCTAAACTGGGAGGATATAGGCCTGGCACCCTGGGGTCAT